TGGAGGTGAAAGATAGGTCTCGTTTTGCTTCTGTTTCACCGGTTTCGCGGACTTCAGGCTGGGGCAGAATTCTGGGTACCTTCAAGTCCTTTGTTGTGACTGTCCCAGACATGTGAAGGAGTCGGTAAGGCACGGCACTGGTCAGGGGCTGTAAGCCAGCAGTCAGCAAAGGGTCCTGAGCAGTTCTAGGTGCTCAGATTCACTCAAATTAGACGTCTAAAAGTCAGTCAGTAGATATAAACATGTGTAAATATAATCAGTAATAACCACACGGTTTTATAAATTCATCTCTGATGCATATCAATCTGCAATTCACTCTGATAGAGTTCTTTTCAGATGAAGTTGTTCTCTGTGGTTATAACCCCTTTTTGAGTGGAGTAGGGAAATCAAAGTACTCCTTTTAAGTTTAAACTTCATATGGATTGCATCAAAACTGGAGCACAGTCCAGACTGCAGCTCCTTGGCTGGGGATATTGTTAAAACAGCATCTGCTTTGTGTCACAGATTTAGCTGCTCTCCCCCCCATGCTGTGAGGATGGACAGCGAGGTGCAGAGGGATGGCAGGATCCTGGATCTGATCGATGATGCGTGGAGGGAAGATAAATTGCCCTACGAGGACGTGGCCATCCCTCTGGTAGGTGAATTGCTACTTATCAATCTGAGTTAAGGCTGCTGCTTTCATCCCAGTCCCTTCCAAGAAAAGGCACACAGTGTTGCTCGTGGTGCAGCTAATTTGTACAAAAGGCTCCTGGATCTGACTCCTTCCTTGCTCTTTATGCCAGTCATTCCTGAGTGCATGAGGACATGGATGCTTCTGTCCCTTGTCCCCTGAGCAGTTGCTGAATCTTCTCAGAACTATAGTGCCCTTCCCATTGCACTGTCCTGGGTTTGGCATCAGGGAGAACTAGAATGATCCTTTCTCTCTGCATCCCTTTTTTGTTCCTGGTGTTTGAGGTACTTTCCTGGTCGGTTTGGAGAGCAGAGGATCAGTCTCCCACTGACAGTTCCAGTCATGGTTACACTTTATTTCCACTTCCTGCAACGCCATTAAAAGAAGCTGAGACATTTTCATACATGTTTCAAAGCAGTCTTTCCCAGAAACAGTGTTGCTGTTGGCAGTTCCAGGACAGCAGTGAAGGACTGGCAGGTACAGCAGGACTCTTGCCCGTGGTGCTGTGCCCAAGGCATTGCACCTCTCTTTTCATCCAGCTGCAAGGCTGGAGAGGGGCAGCAGGGGAGAAGCTACTGCTGATCCCACAGAGCCCAGAGCTGAAGCTTCAGATCTCCCACACTGACACTTTCCTTGGCTATTTTGAAACTTCCAGGGAAGTTAGGGGTAGCTGAGCACTTTCTCTTCCCTTTTTCTCTCTGGTACACAAGCTTTACCCCAGCTAGCACAGATAAAGGAGCCATGGAGATTGTGGGGTGCTGGTTTCTTTCAGTAGAGAGATATTTCCAAATCTGTGACATGGTCCAAGCTTCAGCCCTGCCACCAGTGGCTTTTCAGAGAGAGCGAGGAGCAGCTGCCCAACTCAAAATCCATATGTCCAGCACACATTTTCCTGCCAAGATTTGGGCTTGAGGGAAGCATCTTGCAGAAGCATAATTCTCAGCTAAAAGAGCCCAAACCCTCCTTTGCTTGGGATAACCTTTATTAGGCAAGCTGAGTATCATAAACAGGTTCCTTGTTGACAAGTGCCTTCACCCTGAGTCCAGACATTACTGTTTGTTCCCTTAGAGCCATCTTGTGATGGCTTACAGTCACATACAGACAACAGCCTCAGAAAAGCAAGCCTCACCAACTACCCATAGAAAGAAAGGCCTGGCTGTGGATATGAAGATCCCCAGAGATGGGATTGGTTCTGATCACATAGGAAAACCAGCATGGATTCATGGGGGACTTACTCAGGGACATGGCAAAGGAGCAACCAGAATGGCTGTGAAAGTGGTATTTGAGCCTGTCCTGAGAGTCTGCTCCAGTGCTCACTCAAGACATTTCTGAGAACTCAAATGGGTTTGAATCATTCATTGTTTTCAAAGCTGAAACATTTTATTTAGCTCATGCTGGCATTTCCAGAGATCTAGAACTCTGAATTCCTGCCCAAATGGTATCTGGCAGAATAGCACACACTCAGTGTGACTACACCAATACAGCAAGACAGAGAACAAATAATAAAAGGAAGGAAAATGAAATCTCAGTTAAACTTTCCTTCCCCTTACTGTGCTGTGAGCAGCTCTGTGGCACACCTGGCAGGAGGTTCTGGCTTCTGCTGTTGATCCAGCACAGCTACACCTGAGTCCAGCATGCAGACAGGAAGGACTTCTCACCTGCCTGAAAGTAACATTTTACAGAACCAGTTGTCTGCAGTATTTGTATTCTTGGCAACAGCAGAAGCAGCACATTGCAAACAAACAATGGAATAATTGCATTGTACTGTTATTTACTTATTTGCATTTGCTGTACATTCTCCCTCACTGTGTGTGCAGTCTGAGTGTATAGCAAGGCCCCAGGGTCCTGGAAAACAATTTACCTTTCAGATTAAGCACCACATTCAAATGAAAAGAATACCGTTCATGATGGGGTTCAGCAATATTTTTAAGTGGATCAGTATGTATGATATTTATTGTTCAGATGTACCCTCTGGTCTCGTTTGTGGGGTTTTGTATCTATCCATACAAATCATAACAACCTGCTGCTTGCAGGAAGGGTATTACATCTGGAATCCATTCTACCTGTGCTTTGTTCTCAGAATGAGCTCCCTGAACCAGAGCAAGACAACGGTGGCACCACTGAGTCTGTGAAAGAGCAAGAAATGAAGTGGACAGATTTGGCTCTCCAGTATCTCCATGAAAACGTTCCACCCACGGGAAATTAGTGAATCAGAGGGATTTCACACAGTGGATGCATAAATGCAACATAAAAATACTTTTTGGCTGACCATTGCTGTCATAAGCTGCACTAAGGAGGAAACAACATTCTGGAAACTTTCAGATTCCAACAGTGGTTCTGCTCACAATGAAGAGTTTAAAATGCTTCTTTCTTGAATGTGAAATAACAGAGGCTCTGACATCTCAGAGCCAAGTGCAAAATGTTCCATGCTTATAAGATAATTTCATGTTTTCTGTTAATTTGTTCTTAAGTTAGTGCCAATTCTGATATGTTTTCTACACGATTAAAAAGTTTTTACTGTCTCAAGTCATTGCAATTGATTTCAAAGCTCACAGTGGGATTATTGTCTAGAGTTCAGTGTACAAAACCCAAATAGCTGTGAGTTGTTGCCATCTTTAACAAGTGTGTGGCTGAGGCAGGATGTGTGGGGCAGGTGTGAAAGGTTGGGCAGCAGAATCCAGAGCAGGGAGTAACCTGTAAGCACTTGAATTCCTGCTCTCAGGATCTGATGGTGATGGTGAACAGCATTTCCAGTGCTGACATCCTGGGAATGTTTGCCAATGTGTACAGTGAACAGACAGTCTAATCTATGCTGAAAGGGTGGTTACTCAAAATCCTGGTGTTCCAAGGAAGAACCTGCCTGTTCCACTGCAGGGCCTCTTGACGTGTGAGCCACTCGGATGAGCAACCTCAGATGGGAAATTAAAATTTTAAAAAAGTGATGGGAAAAAGAAATGAGGAGGGCTTAGCTTCAGGCAACAAATTGGTACCTCTTTTTGTGCTGAGAAAAAGGCAAAGCCCTCAAGGACCTTATTTTATCTCTGATTCTCAGATGCCTTTTGCAACAGGTAAAAGCCTTCTGTTCTTCGAGTTTCACTGTTGGACCAATTCCGTCTCACCATTGGCAGAACTTCTTGCTAAGGGAAAATATTTTGACAGAGTTTAGGATTACTGGTAGAGGTGAGAAAGGAGCTGGAAGGAAAACAATGTTTAAATTATATTCTTTTGTCAGTGCAGCAGAAGAAGCACTGTCCTGGAGCTTCCAGATCCACAAATGTTATTTGGTGTCTTTTTTCAGAGTTTATCATCATCTTCAAAATAACAAGCCCCAACTTTTGCCTGGGTGATTATCAAATGGGATCACAGCATGGTACATGTTCAGTGAGACTCAGATTGCTGAGCTGCTAGAGGCTGAAGAGCTCAAGGTGCTTGTGAAAGAATCGTGCTGGACACATGCTCTGCCTCAAGTGTGATTCATGCTTGCACACACTTGTCTGAAGGAAAAGGAGCTGCAGACAGCAGGAAGAGTTAAGGATTAACCTGAGAATTAGCAAAGTCAGAAAGCTTAATAAGTACAGCATGGACCAAAGAACCAGCTATGCTGCTGGGAGCTCTTGGGAGCTCTTATAGTTCAGCTCCTCATTGGATCATCACCAAGGGAAAGAAAGCAGAGCCTGGGCTTAATTAGGTATTTCTAATCCACCCCACACTCCCTTTCCCTGGCCTATGTTAGAAGAATTTGCTAAGAAAACACCAAGCAAAACAACCACCCTACTTCTACCCAGCAGCCATCCCTGCTCCCTCCCTTCTCATCCCTTTACAAACTCCCCACCACCCTCATTTTCCCAATTTTGCCATTATACCTTCCAGCTCCAATTTCAGACTTCCTTTCCTGCCCCTGATAGTTGTCTTTCCTTGGCAATCTCCTTCCTCCCATTCAGCAAAAAAAAGCCTTCCTTACTTGAATTAGAGCTGAATTTCTGAGGTTCCAGGAGGTCTGTGAGAAAATGTGGGAATGCCACTTGTATGAGTGTTATCCAAGACAGCAGTTGCTTGGGAGCCCAGTGGAGAGCCAGACCCTTTGAAGTGGTACTTTCCCTTTGTCACAACACAGTGCTGTGCACCTGTCTCCTGCCTGAGGTGGTGACAGGGTTTGTAGAGAGACTCTGGGCCATGGCACTCAGGAGAGCAGGAAGGACATGGGAGATATTGGGATCATCATGACATCTCCAAAGGCAGGGCCCTGTGAAACCAAGCACCAGCCCCACCCAGATGCTTATCAGACTTGCAGTGACATCTGCAATCTTCCTGACACTCTTTGCAAAAGACAAATAGGCAATAATTTCCTTAGTTTCAACAGGTGCAGTCAAATTGCTGCTTACAGCTACCAACCCATTTATGTCTTTGATTAGTCATCCCCCAAGGCAAACTATATTTAAATTAATGAAACCTGCTAGAATAGAAGGTGCCCCACCTTCTTAAGAAGAAGCTTCATTTCACTGGTCTTCATTTCTTGGCTGGTAGCTTCCTCCTTTCACCACACCTACTGTTACTGGCAGAAAAAAAAGCAAGCAAACTGCTGTCAGAGGCAGCAGACACATGCCAGAGAAATTGTGGGATCCTTCAAATCTCCTACCCATAGAAGTTCCATGTGGAGTTCCATATGCTGAGGCTGTGTGTTGTGTTCATCTGCCTTTTGTATGGGGTGAAAACAGGTAAGAACTCAACCATTTGTTTTGCATGTTTTTGTCAAATATAACACGTTTTCTGTGCTTTACAGCAACATGAATGTACCTGCCCTCTGCATTTACAGGTACTGCACAGGGTTTCTCACTAGCATTATTTATTTTGGCAAAGCAAATTATGCTGGTTACATGAATGTAGTCAGTTCTAAGAGTTCCAAATGGAAAACCAGAACTATTTTTTATTTTCTTTTCTTCCCTTTGCAAACATTTCTCTTATGTAAGTACTATCCATCAACACTGAAAATGTCATTTGAAATCTTCAGAGAATAATGATTTCTTCTCAGGGGTGTCATGTATGGCAGAGGCAAAGGATGAATTACCATTTATGAACAGTAAGCTCCATTTGATAGCCTCACAGCCCTACCAGAACAAACCTGTGTAACAATAAACAAATGTACTGCCTTGTGTTAGCATACACTCGGGAACAAGGTAAGTTACAGCTCTCTGCTTTGTAGGGAAAACAAACAGAGTTAAAAAAACAATGTTCTTATAAATACTAACTTGTGTTTCATCAGGTCCTCTGGAGTAATCTCGGGGTCGCCTTTTGCTTGGTTTGTTTGGTTAAGACTCTGTAAGAAATGCAGTCAGGAGAAGTGGGAAAAGAGAACAGTGTGAAAAGGCACCAGTGAAATGCAGTGAGCTATTGAGCACCAGTTTAGGAGTGGAGAGCACACCCTCTCTGTGGAAAAGTGATGGAAATCTGCACCACTAAAGCTCTCGAGATTGGTGGTGTGGAAGTCAAGTGTGCTTAAAGGGGGATAAAGATATTGTTGATGGTTAAGGCCCATCTGATGACACTCACTGTACAAAGCTCAGGCAAGGTGGCAGAGGCTGCAGGGCCAGAGCTCCTGCAGACAGAGAAGCAGTGACATGCTCACCTGAGCTCCATTCAGTGGAACAAGCAGCTCTGTGTCCCAAGGACCACAGCTGGGACAGCCACACATCCAGCCAAGTAACCACTGACCCACTGAGGTGATCTGTTGGAACTTCCTTTTGCAAGAGGACAGGCTGGTAAAAACCTCAGCTGCTGCTTTATTCATGCAGACAGCTTGATACCACAGCCCCAAAATGCCACCATGGCAAACCCTGCCTGTCCACAGGATCTACATCAAAGGGAAAGCCTCCAAACACCATCTCCTAGAAAGGAATGAGACACACCAGGGGAAGGCAGGCCTCAAGAGCACTGACTGCAGGAAATGCCATGAGTCTGCCTGGGACTGTTCTACTCCCTGCAAATGCTCCCACCTGGGAGTATATGACTTCAGAATATACACACACACACACACATATATATATATATATATATATATATATATATATATATAACCTCAGAACCAAGTTATTCTGAAGATGCCTCCACTCTGCAATAGCATCGTGGAGGCTGATCTCAGGCTTGACACCAAACATGTCCAGCTCCCTGGCAGGTACATGGATTTAACACATTTTTATGCTCCCTGCTACGAGTTCTGAGAGATCAGAGCATCTTGCCCAGCAAACCAGTGTTTGCCTCCTATTTTACATATCAGAAAACAGAGCAGAAGGAGAATGGGGTTGCCAGAGGCTGTCTAGCAAGCTAAGGCAGGGCTGCTGGGTTAATGGCCATGTTCATTTCCCTTTACTGGAGGGAAGTGACCTGTTGGGCATGGGTTAAGTACAGTGCCAGGGGATAAGTTTCTACCTCATTTATTTGCTTGCAGAGTAAATCTCACTAAGCCACCTGCCCCAGTCATCCGGAGTTTCAAAGACACTTCCAGCCATTTGGGGAGGAGTCACTGTGCTCAGCAGAAGGAAAGCAAAGCCAGGTGAACTGGCCCTCCTCATGTGTCAGTTTTTGAACACATGGTGGATGAGGCTGGGATTGGCACCAGCTTGCCAGAACAGAAGCTGGCAGGTTTCCTCCCCTTATTAGCACTGATTTGATTTTGTTAATCAAAACAGAACCAATCTAACAGACCTGGTGCAGATATAACAAGGCTCTTTATACAGTCCCTGTGTTAGGTATCAGCAAATGCTGACCACCTTTTTGAAAGCACTTCTGTACCAGAAGGTTTGGGCTGTTCTGATGACAAACATAGTGCTCCTCTGGGCAAGCCTCAGCATAGTGCAGGAGATACAGAAACAAATGAAGCAATCAGTGCAACCTTGCATCATATAGAAGTAATTCTTGCCTGGCATTTCTGCCTATATTGCTACAGCTTCAGTGGCAGTAAAGATAATTAACAACACTATATAGTGCTACTATACAATAACTAAAACAATGCCTAGTTATTAGTGAAATACACAGTTGTATTTTTTTTATGCTGCAGTAGCACCTAGAGGACAGTCACTGAGTCTCACTGTGTAAGCTGGTGTGCATGAGCAAAAAGTGTTAATTTTTCTCTGCTAGTTACTTTGAGGTGTCCACAAGAGCAAATGTCACAGAACTCTTGCTGCTGTTTCCCTGGAGCATCCTGGCACTGTAAGAATGAGCTGGCCAGGAGGGAGCCACCCAGGCCACCTTTCCCCTTGGGAGCAGGGCCCAGAGTCACGCTGCTCCTGGGAGCTCCCAGTGAAGCACTGCAGAGGCAGGACACCCTGCATCCAAAGGCTTCTGATTTCACTGGGCCTGGCTGGGAGCTCATTTCCCACCACTCCTATCACACCATTCATATGTTACCATAGGCTTTAAACAGGAAGGACTCCATGGATTTCAGATGTTAAAATTTATTTCTGAATTTATGGTAGCAATTAAAAATATTCAGTTGGACTTAACTGCAACATCCTTTTAGCCTATTAACTTTTATTTCTAGAGCTCCTGGGGCTTCTACAAAGTAATTAGCAGAGCTGTGGCAACTGAGCAGATTGTTTTATGTGCTGGGCACATAGCATTTATATCACTCTCATGCTCCTGATTTCCTGAGGAGGAGAAAAGGGAAAGTTGCTCATAGAAACTGTGAGAGTTTCATCATTCACAAATTAAAATGCACAGAGCATTGGAGATTTGCTAGAGCATAATTAACTTACAGCTGGAGGTTTTCTAAACCCTGCTACCTACTGAACAGTCCTTTAAGCAACAAAGATCAGGGAAATTCCTCTAGGAACTGTAGCCTGAACAATTACTGCAGCTCAGGACATACATGTGAGAGTGACACTCTCCCCCACAAGGTTCTTCAATAAGATTATGAGGATTTGAGGGAAAGGATTGTGGGCCAGGAAGAGGCTACTAAACCTGGGAGGGCCTCCATACGTAGTGTCTGTCTGGAGACAGTTACTCCATTCCCTGCCAGTGCCCTGTTGGAGGCTGCATGGGGCTCTGAAGGCTCAGCTGGTGTTCTGCTGGAAAAGCAAAGAACAAAGACAGCCTTGGCAATGGCACAGGCCATCCCATTGAGCAGTACCTACATAAAATTCAGTTACACCTCAGCTGTGTATAAAGCACAATTACCATCTCACAGACCCAAGGGTGCCCCATTTTGCAGTCTGGAATGCCAGGCCACATCTGCACATACAAATGAAGCCTTGAGCTGCCCCTCACCATGGCAAGACTGCAGCTTGGCAGCTCCAGGCTGGAGGTACAAACCAACCCCAAGGACACCAGTTTGGCTGAGAACCTATTGATGCAGGACAACCCCCAGCCAGGGAATAGCATGCAGTGACTCCAATGATTCAGAAGGCTGCTCAAGTGCTTTACTAAGCTATACTACATCACATACTATACTAAACTCTATACTAAAGAAAAACCCCTGACTCCTTACAGAGTCACAACACAGCTTTGACCTACTTGGCCAATCAATCCAAACAACCATCAACAGAGTCCAATTAACAAATCCCTTCTCTGGTAAACACTCCCCATAACGCATTCCACATGTGCCAAACAACAGGAGCAGCAAGGAGAGATAAGAATTGTTTTCTCTTCTCTTTTGAGCATTCTCACTGCCTTCCCCAGGAAAAATCCTGGGAGAGAGAATTATGTCTCTCTCTGTTCAAAGAGTATATGAATACCACAGAGAACCTGTCCAGAGCACCTGGGTGCAGCAGTACAGCAACCATCCCACCTGTTGGTCTCTTAATACCTTCCTCACACCAATGAGATTTTTGGACAGAGTCTCTGCCAACTCCCAGCTGCCACGGGAAGCAGGGCTGTGGTGATTCAGGGAATGCTGCTCCAAAAAGGTGTGACTGCTCTCTTTGCTCCAACACAGCAAGAAAACCTAAGTTCCAAGGTAACTTCAGTCATGAGCATGAGAGAGTGGAGAGGGAGAGAGGAGACAGGAACAGCCCCTGTGCTCAGACAACTCAAAACACACTTTCCTGCCCTGTGCAGGGTTGGCAGGTACAAGAGGCTAAAGAAAACCCCTTGGTGCCAAACTCCAATTGCCGCTCTGCTCCTTTCAGATCCTCAGGAGACATGTCCTGCATTCACAGCCCTCGGCTTTGGGAACGCTTTGATAGGGACAGATCTGAAAGTGAAACTGCTGCTCTACACCCGGCAGAACCCAAGCTGTGCTGAGGAGCTCCACTCAACAGACTCCAAGTACCTCAATGTGACCAAGAAAATTACCTTCATTGTCCATGGGTACAGATTCACAGGCTCTGCCCCTGTCTGGATCCCTGACCTGGTGCATCTCCTGCTTTCTGTAGAGGACATGAATGTCATCGTTGTGGACTGGAACCAGGGGGCAACCACTCTCATCTACAACTATGCTGCCAGGAAGTGCAAAAGAGTTGCTGAGATTCTGAAGAAACTTATAGATGAAATGTTGGTAAGCTGGACACTCATGCTATGATACAGTCATTAAGGCACAGTATGTAAAGGGCACAAAGGAAGTGCTTAAACCAGCAGGAAGTCTGGGAATAGAAACTCCTAAAAAAGGAATACATTAATTTTTGGAAGTGCAAGTGTTCTGCAGTGCCAAATCCTACCCTTGGACTTGGTACAATGGTATTTTGGTGTAATATTCAGTTTACACTCAAAGTCTCTACATTTCTGGGTACAAAGCTCTCCAGACATGTTTTCCCATACACAGAAACTCTACTTCCACTTTCTGTATATCCAAAGGCAGCTTAAGGGGATCAGCTACACTTCACAGCTCCTCTAGGGTGTTGCACAGGCAATAATGATGATGCTGGATCCTGCAGGATCATAGTGTCTGCTAATTCCTTGCAGGAACCACACGTGGGGCAACCGGGATTTTAATCCTGGGGCCCATCAGTGGCTCCTGTCCACACTCGTAGTCATTGCCCCAGGGAAATACAACCATTGCCTAAACTGTTCTCATCACAGCCCTCTGAGGTAAAGGCCTTAAACAGGAATGCTGGCTGCTCTGTGGGATGGCCAAAGGGGAAATATCTACACAGAGTGGAACACTGGGAGATGTTCCATTCCTCCTCCTCATTTTTTTAAATTTTCCAAAAACCCATGACCATGAGTACTCTTATATCTCAGATTAATGGAGCGTCCCTTGACTCCATGCACATGATAGGAGTGAGCCTGGGAGCACACATCTCTGGCTTTGTGGGACAGATGTTTGACGGCACACTGGGAAGAATCACAGGTGAGCCCTCCTCCAGCAGCCCTCCTGCCCCACGGACGGGCAGCGAGGTGGTGCCACGCCCATGGCTTTGTGCTGCAGGCCTGGACCCCGCGGGCCCCCTGTACCGGGGCACGGCGCCGAGCGAGAGGCTGGACCCCACGGACGCACAGTTTGTGGATGTCATTCACTCCGACACCGACGGTAGGTGCCATTCCAGCTCCCTCCTGCACACGGACACCCAGAGAGTGACTGGGAGGAGGGGAAGGGGGGCTGCTGGTGGACAGCAGCGCTGGGCTCCTGCTCCTTTGGCCCAGGAGCACTGCACGCTCCCTCACTGAGCCTGCGGGGCGCTGTGCTGCCCACGCTGTCCCCAGCACTCCCTCGGGAGCTGCTGGTTTATTTGCATTCCAAAACGTGCTGCTGACACAGCATTATCACCTGGCCCACGACTTAGACAAGGACTTCCTTAGGAACCGGTGGAGGAGGTCCTGCCAGAGCAGGACACACCAACACCCCACCACAGGGTCAGGCTGCATCCGAGCACGCAGCACTTCCAGAGCTGGTCCCACAGCTCAGTGACACGCACAGCAAGTCACTTATCCCCAGCCATGGTTCCCTGCATGATGCTTCCAGCCTCACCTCTTAAGGGCTAAACTTTCCTCTAGGGCAAATCTGGACTCTCCCTCAGCCCTGTCCTTTTCCAGACCCAGCAGCCAGGCCAGCAGTGCGATGCCAAGCCCCCCATGCTGCTCCCATGGCACCCTACCTCTAACACTTGGCTTTCCCACCTAATTGCTGCCTCTCTTCTCCCAGCCCTTCCAGAAGTCAGATTTCAGCAGCACAGCAACATCCAGGTTTCACATCCCTTTTCCTCTCCTGCACACAAGGGACACAAACCCCCACATTTTGCACTGTTGCATGCACAGACTTATTTTAGGTAGTTGATACCATTGTTAAAATGACCCAGCTGGGACACAACTGTTTGGCCTGCTGCCTATACAGAGGGATGACATTTGTATTCCTGTACAACCAGGCATCTTAGAGCTAAATAACTACTATCTTTTCCACTTAGGTTGCTGTATTTCCTTCTTGTGCATTTTACACTTTAATGCTCCCTCCCTGAGCCCTGCTATTCCCTTTTGCCAGGACTGGGTTATGGAGAAGCACTGGGCCATATCGACTTCTACCCCAACGGCGGCACCGACCAGCCAGGCTGCCCACTGACAATATTCTCTGGTAATTAATCCTGCCCTGAACTGCACAAACCCTCACAAAAATGTTGCCAATCAGAAAAAGAGGAGACAGCCAGAGAATTATCATCACTGTTTAGAAAATACATGAAATCCATGGCAGCAATTTCTTCCCAGCGCTGGCAAGACAGAGGTTTAGGTGATGTGCAACAGGCAGAGATGAGAGTCAGGGTGACCTCTCTGTGCCCCTGTCACAGTGAAAGAGGGACTAATCCTCTGTGCAAAAAGTTATCAGGTAGATGTGTGCCTTTGTTTTGTGGCTATGTCCAGAAAATCTGTGGGATTTTTTGTATCTAATTACTTGTAGCACATGAAAACCCAAGGACTAGCAATGGAAAGGACCTGTTCAGAAAAAAGGCTCAAGATGAAGGTGGAGCAGGCAGTTATCCCAAATCAAAGACACCTTCCTTGGCAGTGACAGAAGGTGCAGTCTGGAAGGCACAGCCCTAGTCCTGAACAAAAGAAAGCTTTTTTTCCTTTCAGCCTAGCAGCAGAACTGGTTTGATGAAAGCTGGGTAAAAAAGATACTTTACAGAAGGAAATGCAGTATTGTGAATTCAACCCTTATCAAACCCAAGACAATCTACATAGGAGAGCAGCCTGAGCCAAAAATCCCTAGGAAACGAGGCTTCACTGACTTTGCTGCTCATGCAACAACTCATTTTATTAGTTATGTCTTTCTAAAGAGTTTTTTATACCAAAATGGAAAGTCATGTGCAAAGCTAAAGCAATATCCAGCTGTCAGGCCTGAGCTCAGAGAGGAGAGAACACCAGAGACAAACAAATTGATCCATAGTTGGATCCTCTGGAAATGCAGCAACCACACAAACAAATGTTTTAAAACCAAAAAGACAAAAGGAAAAGCAAAGCAGACACAGGCAGAGCTCAATGCACTCAAAGGGAGAGGCTGCTGCCCACCTACTGTTCTGCCACAGCCCAGTGCTTCCCAGTGCAATTTGCTGGGTTCAGACTGTCCACTGGTGTGTCCTGAGGCATGAGGATTGCTAATGAAATATTTCTTCCCTGTACATGATGAAGGGTTGCAGTATTTTAAATGTGACCACCAGAGGTCTGTTTTCCTGTTCCTGTCCTCCCTGACACAGAACTGCAACATCACCACATACCCCTGCAACTCGTACAGGAACTACAGGAATGGCAAATGCACCAGCTGTGAACCCTTCTGGCCCATGCCATGCCCCATCCTAGGTAAGGATCCAGAGAATGTCCATCCATCTCAATACTGAGCTGCCTGTTGGCACTGGAACTCAGAGGGTGATGTTTTGCTGGAGGACTAACATACCATGGTGCTTTGCAAAAGCACCAGAGTTATTTCACTGAGGTGTTTGAGGTATCTCAGGCCTGCTCCTCGTAATATTACAACATGTTATGATCTAGAACAGAAATCCACAGGTAAAGGGTCCAGAACTAGAAAAGCCAAAACTATACTTGGGATCTTTACACTAAAGTCAGAGAAACAGTGAATTTAACTCCCTCAGTTGCAAAGTTTGAGGGACAAGGGCCTGTTCTTGCTAAAATAAGATTTACAAGTAAATTCCCAGCAGCACAAATCCCTCTGTGCTCTAAAAGGAATGGCAAATGGGTGAACAAAGGGAATTTCTGGACTTGTCTGCCCCAGCCTGGGTGTGACAGCCCAGCCTCAGGCTGGCAGCTCTGAAATGTTGATGCTGAAACACCTGACACTTCCAGAAAGGAACTGGCAAAGCCAAGGGGGTGATTTTCATTCTGCACTGCAAAATGAAACCCTTGACCATGGATAGCAGATGTGGAAAAAGATCAGCTTGAAGAAAGTGCTGAACAGTAACCAGGCATATTCACTGCTAAACCTTTGGAGTACAGGAGGAAGTGTGTCATTGCTACTTGGCAGCAGGCACACCATGCACTATTTCTTAAAAACTTGCTTATTTTCAGCCACTTAGTGGCTCATCTACCTGTGCAGTAACTTGGTCTCATTTTCAAACTGTCACCTGCAGGTTATTATGCCTATGAGTGGAAAAGCTATTTAACACAACAGAGCCATCCAGTGACAAGTATGTTTTTTGACACAGCGGACAAAGGGCCGTTTTGCAGTAAGTGACTGAGATTTCTGAGATTATTTTCTTTATGCATTGCCTCTGTCAGTAGCAGAGAGAGTTATTTGCTGGTGGTGTTATAAGCCAGCATTTTAGAAACTTCAGTTGCTGCTGGATGGAATTGGGTCCATCTGTGGTTTGCCATAACCTTCTTTTATCTGCCAACCTGTCCAGTGCTGGGAAAGCCAACTTGCTTACAGTTATAGGAAATTGGCTGAGAACTTTCAAATTAAGCATAAAAGTTCCCAAATCATGTTTCAAAGCAACATACCATTCTTTTGTGAAAGTAAGAGGTGTGTGGGAACAATAAGAGAGGTTGAACAGGTGAAAAAGCTACCCTGGAGGAAAGTGAGAGGTGCAGGGAGAGGAAGAGAATCTGTGGAAAAAAGGTTTCACCAAGGTGAAAAGTTTCATCTCATCCCTGTGATTACCAACATAGCAGGGCATGGGCTGGGATTATGGCCTGAGCTCCAGTGCTGGTCAGCAAGTGGATGCAGATCAAAGAACAGAAAATTCTGCTCCATGACACAGATGACAGGTACAAAGAACAGAAATGGAGGGGTTCAGAGGGGGGACCAAAGAAAGAAATACAGTCTGGAAGTGAAGGGGGAGGCAGGCAGTGAAAGGCAGTGTGCTGGGAACCACACAGAGAGGCCATCCTGCATGGATAACCCTTGCTGCAGCGCTCTCCTGACACCTCCAGAGTGAAATCTCTGCAAAGGGAGGTGGAGAGCAGGGAGGAGAGAGGGATTTTCCAGATAAACTGCAGGAGCTGTGTCCATGTTCTGCCCCCAGCTCTGCTCCCAGCCAGTGCACAGCCTGGACAGCAGACTGAGCCCACAGGGTCTAACCCCACTCACCCTCCCTCCCCTCAGTGTATCACTACCTGGTGGATATTATCACATGGAACAAAGACACCAGGAGAGGCACCTTCAGCATCGTGCTAGCTGATGAAGATGGGAGGAAGGCAGAATCAAAAGTTAATCCGTAAGTTTTACTAGTCTGAGCTTTTCTCAGTGTTAGTGCATCCCTTGGTACAACTGCAGCTGGCAGGAGGTGACACATCCTCCCCAGTTTCTCTGCTGATACTTGCTGGTGCACATGGGATTTCCTGGCTCTAAGGGATTTCCACAGCCTCCCCCAGCACACAGCCCTGACAGCCCAGCCTTTTGGTTCTGGCCCTTCTCTGTCATCTTAAGGACTGAAGTGAACAATCTCAGCCAGCAGCACAGCTGCCCTAGGCTGTCACTAAAACAGAAGGAAAACATCTCCCCATGTTTCCTTCCTCTTAACAGTGAGTGTTCTGTTCTAGTCCCAGTGCCCAAGACAGCTGGGGATTAACCTGGGCCTGAATATGTCACATCCAAAATCAATTCATTCCACTCAGAGAGACAAATTAATGGTGTTTATGTGACATGCAAATTCCTGATTGATCTGAACTACACTTCAGCCAAACAGACCTGCACAACTAGTTTCCCCAAGTTTCTCTAAGTGCACATTCCCTCAGGCATATCCAATACCTGCTTGCACTGGAGCAATCTGCATTGATCCCACACCAAGGCCAGAGCAGATTTCATGCATATCTCAAAGTGACTCAGTGCTCAGGCCTGCACAGACAGCCAGGCACAAATATCACACAGGTCCAGTCCACTTGGGATCAAAGCAGAATCACAATGAAAATTCTGGTCTGGGACCAAATGGCATCCAATCTCTGTGTCCCCACTTCCACCCCAAAAACCTGAGGGCAGAAGTGGCTGAGCAGGTTGACACCAGGAGACCCGAATCCAAAACCATTCCCTGTAAATCAGAAACTCATCACAAGCTCAGGCCCGCTCCTCCAGCCTGTTTCTAATATTACAGTGACTACATTAAACCCAGTGCTATTCTCTTGGTGGCTCTCTGACACTCTCTCTTGTCTGCTTTACCTTTAGAGAAGCTGTCACCTTCCAGAAGTACAAACAAATCACTTTGCTCATTGGGTTTGACCAGGATCTTGAAAATGTGGAAAGAATTTCCTTGACATTTTCCACAGGATCTGTCATTGGCCCAAAATTCAAACTCAGGATTCTCCAGATGAGGTTCCACTCACTGACAAACCCAGAAAGGTGAGCAGATGTTTACAAACAAACCATGTCTGTTGGTGCAGGCTGGACAGAAGTAAAGGAATCTCCCAGAATCCTGGCCTAGCTATGTGCAGAAGAATTAGATTTATTTTACATTTAGTAATTCACATACACATATCTTGGGAATAAATTCCTCTTTAATGGAATCCCACAGCTGAATACTTACCTGAACACAGGGAGCATGTCACATGTGATGTGACTGACGTGGCCTGACACCATAAACTTTGGTCAGGAAAATTACCTTTGGAAAGCTGCCCAGGCCTGAGCTCTATGATGGAGGGAAATGCAGAACTCTGGGAAGAACAGATATTCAGCCCCAAACACACATTTAATATCCCAATCAATTTGTATGGCTAGTGAAGCAGGGAGATTAATTTACTCCTGGAATTCCAGCAAGTGGGAGCTGCTGACTGCTTTGCCCCAAAGCCCTGGCTGGTACCCACAACATCAGGGGTACTTCTCAAGCATTGCTGATGAGATTTCCATCACCTCATTAGCTTCTGTCTGCTCTGCTGTTCTACCCCTAAGCTTCCCACCTCTGGAGTTTGGGAGCTTTGCCTGAGCACAGAATCTCTTACCCTGCCCCTGTGTGCAAGGGCACTGTGGACACCACACCATGCTCTGAGTTTGGCTTAAAACAAAGCTGGAAAATCACAGGGTGAAGCAAACAGACATCTAGAGCTGCAGAACACATTTCTTTGCATTTCATGAGGTCTGCTACCCTTATCCTAGCCTTGCAACAAGGAAGAGATTGTACATCTTCTAAACAAGGTTCTGCAGCTCTCCCCTTGCTGCCACTCCTTGCCTCCTGTCCCACACCTCCACAGTCACTTCCAGCCCAGATACACATTTGGTCTGTTAAAAAGCAGACACAAATGCCCCAATATTTAATCACAAGATGCTGTCTCTCCCCAGTGAGGGGCTGCCACAGGCCATAAACACAGTTCAGGACTTTCAACACATCACCTAATCAGTCATTGCCACGGGGAGGGATATCCTGCCCTCTCCCCTTCCCTGTTGCTCAACCCACTACACAGGGCTAATGTTCACACCTCCCCAGTGAAAGCCCAAGTATTTCCTCAGGGTTTTTGGGTGGACTAGCTCCAGACCAGATCTGTGTTTGGACTCTGGTCAGAGCAGGGGCAGAATTTCTCATGCCTGGAGCAGGGAAGGGGCAGGAGCAGGCAGGTGGGCTGGAAGGACCTCGTTTTGTGGACTGGATTAAAGGGAACCATGGACTCTGCAGCCAGTGCCTGCTTGTTTGCTGGATTTTTTGTGATCCTTTTTTTCTACAAGCAAATGATAACATAGAACAGAATGGTAAAACGCTCAAAGTATGTCTAGCTTAAAGCCAACCTCCCTTCAGGTGGACTTGGAGCCAGTTCTCTTGAGATGATGACTTATTTTATGTAAGCCTCCAGCAGGTGGGGAGATGACAGAAAACAGCACTTTTTTTTACTTTTGCCCGTGTTTTCACACAGACCCCAGCTGTGCCGATACGACCTGGTCCTGACTGAGAACACCCAGAGAACTTTCAAGCCCATCCCATGCTGAAGCAGGAGCCGAGTGCCGAGGACGCTGTGCCCGGACGGGGCAGACATTTCCCCGCCGTGTGGGACTCACCTTGCGGGCCCCGGGCGCCTTCTGAGGGGGCCGAGCAGCGGGACCGCTCTCCACGCAGCGTACAAACGGGCTGGGGGAGTGACAATAAAACCATGGCGGCACACGGCTTTAAAGCGTAGCTTTAAAAGGGGGGCTTAAAGTGAGGGTTTCAAACGGGGATGTAAAGCGTGCGTCCGCGGCTTGGCGCCCTCAGGAGCAGCAGGTGCCAGCCTGCCCCACTAATGCCCCGCAGCCCCCTCACGCCCACGCCCACCATCACTGCCCCGGCCCTGCCCCTCGCAGAGGCCCCGCCCCGCGCCTGCGCACCCGCTCGGGGCGCTGAGGGCGGCACAGCCGGGCCGGGAGGGGCCGGGTTTGCTCGGCTCGGCTCGGCTTCGTCCGGCGGTGCCGGCAGCGGCGGCCCCGACCCGGGATGTGGCGGCGCCCGGCTGGGCTCCTGCTCGTCTTCGTGACCGCCACGGCCGCGCTGTGGCTGCTGTCGGTGCGGCTGAGCGCGGGGCAGACGCGCAGGTGGGTGTGGGCGGCCGGCGCTGCCCGTGCGTCCCTCCCTTCCCCCGGCGCTGCCCGTGCGTCTCTCCCCTCGCAGGGCGCTGCGGTTCCCGGCGGACCTGGAGGAGCTGCGGGATCTGGCCGAGGCGCTGCGGGACTACGAGCGACAGCACCGGGGCGCGGCGCTGGCCCTGTTCTGCGGCGCGTACCTGTACAAGCAGAGTTTCGCCATTCCCGGCTCCAGCCTCCTGGTACGGGGCGGGCGGCGCGGGGCGAGGGGCCGGGGACCCACGGATGGGGCAGGAGGAGCCGGAGGGACCGAGCGGGCCCGCAGCTGGGCAGGAGAACGCTTAGGAGCAGTACGGGTCGGGGCTGAGCTGCTGGAGAGCAGCTCTGCTGGGAAGGATCGGGGAGCGTTGGTGGATATTGTGACCTGAAGGCCAGGAAGGGCAGTGAGATCCAGGAAGAGCGTTGCCAGCAGGTCACGGAGTGATCCTGCCCCTGTGCTCAGCCCTGGGAGGCACAGCTGGAGTGCCAGGTCCAGATCTGGGCTCCTCAGGAAAAGACAAGAAGAGGGTCCAGCAGAGGCCACAAAGAGGTGCAGGTGGAGCATCTCTCTGATGAGAGATGATTAGTCTGGAGAATACTGAGAGGGGATCTCATTAATGCATATAAATATCCCCAAAGGATAGTGCCAGACTCTGTTCAGTGGTGCCCAGCAACAGAACAACGAGCAATGGCCATAAACTAAAACACAAGAAGTTTCACCTCAATATGAGGAAGAACTTCTTTCCATGGAGGGTGGGAGAGCAATGTGAACAGCTATCCAAGGGAGGGAAAAGTCTTCTCTGGAGGCATCCCAAACCCACCTGTTCCTGTGTCACCTGCTCTGGGTGACCCAGCCTTGGCAGGGCATTTGGACTGGATGATTTCCAGAGGCCCTTTCCATCCCTAACAATTCTGTGGTCCTGTGACACACCATGTCCCCCAGGCCTCACTCCATGTTGTCCCCACAGAATGTCCTGGCTGGAGCACTCTTTGGACCATGGATGGGGCTGGTGCTTTGCTCAGTGCTCACGTCTGTGGGAGCCACCTTCTGCTACCTGCTCTCTGCAGCTTTTGGCAAGCAGCTCATAGTGCACTTCTTCCCTGAGAAGGTGTCTCTGCTGCAAGGGAAGGTAAGAGCTGGTGGTTCTGCTGACACCCACGGTGGCCGTGGGCCAGGCTGCTCTTGGGGTGACAGTGAAAGCCCTGTGTGCAGGGGATGTACCAGGCCTGCTGAGGGCACAGTCTAGGAGCAGGCTTCTCTCTTGGAGCAGATCTGTTGGCAGAGGGGCTGCCAGGAAAATCCTGATCCTGAGCAAAAGCATATATGAAAAAAAGGAGTGTTTGGGAAGCCCCTGTGCTCCAGAACTGCCTCCATCCCTCCCATGCCATGTTGTAAACTGGAGCTGGTTCTGCTCTTGACTTCCTGATCTTTCATTCTGGTGAGATCTCATTTTCACCCCTCTTTGAGAGGGCTGGCTCCCCATTAGGCTCCATACAGACACAGTACTGCTGCTTTCCCTCAGTTCTGAACTGATGGTACACTGTGGCATGTTAGAAGAAAAACTCACTCCGGTATTGTGGCCATTTGAATGTTACTGCTGTTGGAGGAGCAGGAATGATATGGAACTTTTCTTTTGGCAGATAGAAGAGAACAGGAGCTGCCTATTTTTCTTCTTGTTGTTCCTGAGGCTGTTCCCCATGACACCAAACTGGTTTCTGAACCTCTCGGCTCCCATTTTAAACATCCCCCTGTCCCAGTTCTTCCTCTCCGTTCTCATTGGTAAGGCCTGGGGACACAGCCTGAGGGGACAGTGTGACACTGCTGCTCTTGCTATCACTGAGCCAGGGAGGGCAGAGCTGGGACTCTGACCCTTGGTCTGTTTCCTGTCTGCTGCCCTTGAGCATTCTGGAGGTGTCACCAATGCTACAAATTTTGCTTTACACCTGGTTCTTTCTGTTATAAATACAAACCCCACTGTCTGTGTAGTGGCTGTACATTAAAACACTGAGTTCCACCTCAACATGAGGAAGAACTTTCCATGGAGGGTGGCAGAGCACTGAAACAGCTGCCCAGGGACGCATGGAGTCTCCTACTCTGGAAACATTCCAGATTCCCCTGGACACATTCCTGTGTTACCTGCTCTGAGTAACAATTCCATAGCAAGGGGACTGGATCCAGAGGTCCTTCCAACCCTGACAATTCTGTGATTTCTGTGTCTGGCTTTGAGCATATTTAACTTATTCTCTCTAGGGGGGAACTAACAGCTTTTTTTCTGCTCTGATTCCTTCAGGCCTTACACCATACAATTTCATCTGTGTGCAGACAGGGGCCATTCTGTCCCAAATCACCTCTCTGGATGCCATCTTCTCCTGGGACACACTGCTCAAGCTGCTGGCCATGGCTGTGGCAGCGCTGATTCCAGGAACCCTCATCAAGAGATACAGCAAGAAACACCTGAAGCTGGATGGAGACAAGCAAGCTCAGACACTAAATGGCAGAAAGAGCTTGTGATGGTTTAGGTGCCCCAGTTTTGGGGTAAAAGCTGCAGGACTCTCTTCCCAGGGGTTATATTCTGCATGCTCTGTGCCACCAAGGACAGTGGCAATTTTTAATCATCCTTCTCATCTCTGAGGAGGTGTCCGTTCTTATTTTTAATGAATGTTTATCTGTGCGTGTATCTGCACGGAGAGAGATGTACAGGGGTTTTGTGAACACTCAGTTAATTTGCCTGTTTCATTTAAATCAGTCTCCTGTGTGCCTGAGGCTGTGGGGAATAAAAGGAGGAGTACTGGCATCCTGTGAGGAAGGCAAACCAGAACCCAGCTGTGCATCACTGGCCAAGCACAACCCTGTGGGCAGCAGGCAGGCTCTGCTCCCTCCAACTGCAGACAGATTTAGCATTTTTGGCTGAAATGATGAGCCATGTGCTCCTGTGCAGCTGTACAAGCACCAAGTTGAAAAAATAATGGTGTTTCAGGGTGCAGCTGTAGAAGATTCTTCTTTGATTCCCATGTTAAACCAGCACACTCTGCAGCAAAATGCTGGGGATTTGAGCTGTCTGAATCAGTCATGTCAAAACACTTGAGACAGCTTCTCTGGTCTGCCAGTGGCTGCTACTCCCCATAGAGAATAAAGGGGTAAAGAACAGGAATGGATGTGCCTGACTGGGAGAGATGTGTCCTTGAAAAGCACCTTGAAACCCACACATTTGCTCCTGTATAACTAGGAGGATTCCAAATAAAGAGGTGGGCTCTGTCCCACCTGTGGAGATCCCAGAATGGTTTGGGTTGGAAGGGATTCTAAAGCCCATCCTGTTTCACCCCCTGCCATGGGCAGGGACACTTCCACTATCCCAGGTTGCTCCAAGCCCCATCCATCCTGGCCTGGGACACCTTCAGGGATCCAGGGACAGCCACAGCTTCTCTGAACAACCTGTGCCAGGGCCTCACCCCCCTCCTCCCACTGGGATGATACTCTGCTCTTGGGGTTTAGGTATTTGCTCTCCATGAGAAGTTCCACTTGGAGGATAAAGTAACCTTCCTGGTATGAAAAGGGGCAGGTGGGAGACCCCAGAGCAAGGTTTCATGACATCCCAAAGTCCATGGGAACCCATTCCCAGATCACCAGACCAGCCTGCAGCATTGAAGTACACTGGCTTTTTATTCCATGCATTGTTTGCTTTGATAGTCATTCTTGTTTCCATCACTGTACACTGGTCAATACAAAAAAAAAAATCAAGTTTGTCTCAGGAATCCACAGAGCAGGGAGGAGGGGATGAACACTACTGGACAGGGCCAAGATGAAATGGGTACTTAACACGACAGTGGGGAGGGCAACATTCAGCTCTGGGAGAAAATCTAGGCTAGTGTTCAGGAGCTGTCAGCAGCCACGAGAACGGGATCAGGGTACTTGGGATGCTGGAAAGGAAACCCACAGTTTACTCCGGCCCTGGAATGCGCTGTTACTACAAGGAGTAAGCAGACTCACCTGCACCTCTCAATCCAGACCCTGCCAGGAGAGGAAGTGCAAGGAACCACAGCAGAGGTGCCCATACAGCAGTGTGGGGACTGTCTGTGCAATCCCAGGGAGGTGTCACTAAGGAAAATCCTACACAACCCCCCCAGAACTGACAGCAACCACCTCGGGAATGTGGGGCTGCTGAGCCAGCTCTGCCCACACACAGCGAGGCCATGGGAGTTGTGCAGGGGAGGTTAGGGTGGCACCTCCATGGGCAGGGGCAAGGGCTGCCCTAGTGGCATTCCCAGAGGGATGCAGGGGCAGGAGCAGCAGGAGGAGCAGCGACACTGGACTGGAACACTGCAATGACCCGGGGCTGTAAGAATAGGGCTAAGTGTGGCAGGCTGGAGGGGGAGGGATCAGCTGCATCCAGGACAGCTGGCCCAGAAGGGTCTCAAAATCCCAAACACCAAAGCTCTGCAAGCCCGATGGAGCTTCAGCCCATGGTG